CTCCAGACACCAGTTTTCTTCAGAGCTCAGAGGATGTTGCCCATGACCAGCTTTTTCCAGCGGCCCACCTTGGCCCAAGGTGTGCTATGGCCCCAGGCTTTGCCCACCTGCAGCCAGTGGGTCATTTCCCAAGGTGCGGGTGTGCCGAACTGACTGATCTGTGGTTTACAGTTTTCACTGGAAATGAAAAAACTTCCAGCCATCACTTTTTCAAATATTTCTATGCCCTCAAAGGGTCAAAGACGACAAGTGGAACCTTCTGTGGCTGCTGCACGGCTCTATGAACTTTTCCTTCCCATCACCGCTTTCTCCTGTGAGACTGAACTCACCGCTGACCACCCCAGTTTCCCGTGTCTCATTTCCAGACCTTTGCCTGGTGATGTGCTTGTCTGCCAGGCCTGACATCTGCAACAGCTTTGAACACATTTCCACGGATCGACTTTCTTCTCATTATAGGTCCTATTTCCTGGTTTGTCACCTGCCTGGTCATTTGACAACAGTGTTAAAGGTAGCATAACAAGGCACAGGGAGAGACTCTGAGCCAGCTGTCCCTGTGGGGTCCCTGCAATAGTCAAAGGGAACATAACTCTTTATATCGTTCTTCATAGGGTCACCTGCTTTTCTTCTGCTCACACTTCCCCCGCCCCAAGATTTTTATTATTTGTGTCTGTGTGCACACACACAATCGTCATATGTATGTGGGAGGCCAGAGGAGTGTACGCGATCCCTTGGAGCTGGAGCTACAGGTGGTTGTGAGCTATTTAACAGGGTGCTGGGAACAGAAAATTTGGGTCTTTTTGAAGAGCAGCCATCTTTGAGCTCCAAACCCACCATAAGGGCTGGATGACTTCTGCCCTGTGCTTGGGCTCTCTAGGGGACTGCCACACAGCAGTGTTCTGCGGCAATACAGAGAGAAGACTCCTCATGCGCTTTTAGCAGAGTCCAGCCTGAGCAGGCGTTATCCTTCTCTCCACAAATGCCAGAAAACATAGGAATGTAGAGTGCTATGTGTTACAGACCACAGGGCATCTCACCTGGGGACTACTATGTACTGATGGCCCATAGGTCATGTCATCTGTAGAGTGCTATGGCCTATGGACCCTCACAGCGGCAAACTTGGAATTAGCTGGGGTACTTTGAGCTTGGCAGGTAGCAGGTGCCACTTGAGCAGGGAGGCCATTAGATGGCAAGGCCAGATGTGAGGAGGGGAGTGGCTGCTTAAGCCCTCGTGGGATTTTTGTCTCTGGGAATTATGGCCAAGGTCATTTGAAGAAGGGAAAACGAGGAAACTTTCCTCAGCCTGCTGCTAGAGAAACAGGTGCAATAAGCTGACTAGGAAATTAACTCACAGGGTGGTCCCTGGCGCCCGCAGGCAGTGCGAGAACATTGCAGGAAGGGCCTTTCCAGCAAAGCCTGGTACCACGCACACAGCCATCAGCATGGTGCAAATGTGAATCAAGGCTGTGCGTTGATGCTCACAGCCAAGTGCAGCCTCTGGGGCAAAGAAAGCACTGTGCCCAGGAGATAAACAGGAACTGAGAGTAGCGGAAACACCGTTCTCCACCCACTGGAGCATGGTGCCGACTGTAACTTCAGTGACCATGGGAAGCACTGTTGAGAAAATCCTACCAGCGTTCAGATCTGACTCTTCCTAAGACTTCAAACGTAGGCACAAAAATACTGAAAACGAACCCAAAACCCCAAACTGGTAACCATTACAACTAAACTGGTCCACAGGAGTTCATGCAGCACTAGCAGAATGTGCGGCTAGAAGAGGGCCACTCTCCACGTCTCGGAGTCTGCCCACAGTGACAGACCCATGCTCTGTGACCAATTCTGCCCTTGCTGCTTTGCTCTGGCTTTGCTCCATGGCAGACTCCCAGGAGCCTCTCCACCAAGTACTGCCAATGCTAAGCATGCTAACATAGAGATGAAGATCATGGGGTCGAAGGGAAGGCATTTCAAAGGGAGTTCCTCTGTTTATGTCACTTGGCCCTTCAGTGCACGGGAATACAGGTAAAAGAGAAATGGTCACAAAGTATAGGCTCTGTGAGCCACAAAGACAAGCTTCTGGTTTACCAAGCTGCTCTCTGAGGGACCCCTTTTCACTGAAATCACAAAGGAGCTTTCCAGGTTCTGGTCCTGGTGCTGGAGGTGGACGCCCCAGGGGAGTGAGGAGGGGGTGCTTGAACAAATGGGCAGCAGGATTCACTTCAGCCCTTTAACTCCTACACCCAGCGCCGGGGGCAAGCTACCATGCAGACAGAATGGTGACTACGTGGTTGAGATAGGTAATATCGGGGTATTATAGAGCACACAGGAGCACACCCACCAGCCATGCCTGGAGGAGCCAAGGCGGGAGGCATGACTCAACAACAGCATGGCAGCTGCTCAGCAGGGCACTCGGGTCCTGGCTAGGCCGGCTGGTGTCTGTGGAGATAGTCTGAGAGCCTACAGGGTCATTTCAGAACTGAAAAGTAACCAGCCATTGGCTGCACAAGGTGAGGGAGCAAACGCCAGTAAAATCCAAGGCTCAGCCACACAGAGAATAGGCAATGGAGACGGGCTGTGAGAGAAGCAAATGTGCTTTCCTTTAAAAAAATGTCCACATACAGCCTGGCGCCACACGGACGCTGACCATGAGCTCAGCAGGAAGCCGAGCATCAGGGCCAGCACAGTGCTCAGCTGAGTCTGAAGCTGAGTGTGGGAGGGGATGGAAGGGGCCCGGGGGATCTGTCGTTAGAAACGCCTGGGCCAAGGGAGTGACGAGACGAAGTGCTGGCAGGACGGACAGTGGGTACGGTGTAGGATGTGCACTTAGTCTCCAGGCTAGCTGTCGGTGGGGAAAAGTGGCACAAACAATATGGCTGAACAAGGTCCAGGGTGGAAGGTGGACAGTGGACCTCAGCGGAGCAGAACAAGGAGGAGCCCAGGTCTTAGCTTTGGCGATCAGGAATAAAGAGCCCCTGGAGAGAGGCTAGGGATGTGGCGCAGCTGGTGGAAGGCTGGCTTTTGGCTTTCCTTATGGGCAGGATCCCCCCCTGGGGGGGGATCTATTCCCATCACTGCACACACCTATAATTCTGCACCTGGGAGACAGCAGGAGATCAGGAAGTCCAGGTTATCCTTGGCCACCTACTCCATTCTCCAGGGGCTCAGAGGAAGAACAGCCTGTGACATTGCAAACCAGGACCTCCCTTCCCTGACCTGCATTAACCAGACCCAGGCCACCATTCTGCCTGTCATGAGTCAGAAACATGTCACACTCATTGCTGTGTTTTCCACACGACACACTCACTCCTGTGTTTTCCGTTCTGAGCTGCAGAGTCCCATCCGTTTCATGAGACTGAGGTAGGAACACGGTTTTTCCTACCCAGTCCTTGTGAGTGTTTCACACATGCACACACCCATGACGATAGGCATAGAAGTCAGCTGGAATCAAGCTACAAACAGACTTGATTCTTCTAGACCAGGGTTCTCAGCCTTCCTAACGCTGCGGCCCTTTAACACAGTTCCTCATGTTGTGGTGACCCCCAACCATAAAATTATCTCTGTTGCTACTTCATAACTGTAATTTTGCTATTGTTATGAATCATAATATAAATACCTGCGTTTTTCCGGTAGTCCTAGGTGACCCCTGTGAAAGGGTCGTTCAACCCCTCCCCTCAAAGGGGTCTCGACCCACAGATCTGTTCTAGGCCATCTCAAAAGCAAGCAGATAAGCAAAAGTTGATGACAGTTAATGCCTCTTCGCCTCCCTCCTCGCCAGCCAGCCCCTCAAGCAGCCTGAACACATATCAGCGCCATTTGTTCTCCATGGTCCCTGCCAAGCTGGTTCCGACCTCATCTGGGAACCACAGTGTGTACCTTCTGAAACCATGAAGGCCTTCCCCAGACATCCTCAACCCTGCAGAGGGTGGCGCTTGTCTTTGATGCCAGCATATCTGGAGGAGTTCCCACAGGCTCTGCCTAGGTACCTGCACATGCTCCACATCTGCACCCTAGGACCTCACAGGCCATGGCCACGAGCTGGGACGAATCCCGAGTGCTCAGGGTAGCCTGTCTTCTGCTACAGCTCTATTGCCAGGCAGACTGGAGGGGTTTGGTGGAGCAGGAAATGGGTTGTCCTCATGGCCCATCCTCTGCACCCACCTCAAACCCTCTCCTTCAGGGAGGACCTTCTTCCCCGTGCCCTCTTCCTATGAGCTACTTCACACACCAGAGTTCTCCGCCCCACAGCCTCGTCCTCTGCCCTCCTCACAGTCCTCTGACCTTCCTACTGCCCCTTGCTTGCTCAACGTGTCACCTCCAGTCCTCTGTCACACGCAGAATGCCTGGGCTGACTGACCATTTCATGTCACGCTCATGGTCAGTGACTCCCACTCCTATATAGTGCAACTTTGGCCCCACAATGTTTTCTTTCTTAAAGCTGTCTGTGCCTGTGTCCCCGAAGGGTCTTCTGAGGTCAAGGATAGGAACTGCTAACTTCTTTGTCACCTACAGACCTTAGCACAAAGCTCTGGGAATAGGCCCCACCAAATTTTTGTGGAGAAGACAAATGGCTGCAGGGCCAGGGTTTATAAGGAACTGTAGATGATACAACTGGAAAGTGTTGGGACTGGGGAGTCACCTGTAAAGAAAGGACCATTAACGGTCCCTCCAAGGCTACAGGCAGGATGGGTACAGACAGGATGGTGGTGGGCTGGGCTCTGAAGCCAGTGCTAGTACGTTAAAAACAAGGAAAGAAGGCTGTGGCAGGACAGGGCTGTGGTGAGAAGGCAGGTTTGGGCCCAGGGCCATTTGGTGCCGTTGTCAGAAACACAGGAAAGGGGCTGAAGAATGGTCCAGGTACGGTCAGAGTACAGGTGACAGGGACACACAGAAGACAGACAAGCAACTGAGCAGCTGGTAGAGACTTGGGCAGGTTTTGGTTGGGGGAGAGTACGAGAGGCATGGCTGGCCCCACCTAGACCTGGGGTCTCTGAGCGGAAGTTACTCACACTGTCCACAGCGAGGATTTTGGCCCAGATGAAGACCAGGAGCGGCCGCAGCTCTCGGGCTGAACTCTGGAGCAGCTTCAGCACATAGGGGAAGATGCCCACCGACAGGGCCTGGTGGTAAAAGACAGCGTCAGCACAGCCCAGTGATCTCTTTCGAGTGATACTCGTTTGCCTCACTTCACTCCTCAGGTGCAAGCATTCCTGCCCCCCCCCCCTTAGGACCAAGCTTGGAGGAACCACTGTTGAATTCTTCTGTTCAATTTTAGACCTTTTCCTTCTTCAAATATTGTTCTTCCTATTTTTAGGCTCTTCCCCTTCCTCCCTCACTGTTAGCCTGCAATCCATCACTCTGTTGACAATATCTAATTAATGAAAATGTGAACCTGCTGACCTGTTCACCCCACAGCACTCTGCAGCAGACCTTACGTAGGCGATTTCACTGTGTGCCACTTACAGCAGGCAGCTACTGTTCATAACGCAAGATAACCAATTCATATGAAATGTCTAGTTGTTCTATCAGTATTGGTTTAAACTTCATTTATTTAATTTATTGTAAGTGTGTGTGTACATTTGTATGCTGGAACACTTTTTGTGTGCAGAGCAAGACAAACAGAGGTTGTCTTGGGGAGTTTTCCTCTACCACCTCACCTTATTTTCTGAGATGGTTTTGTACTAAACATGGAGCCTGTAGGGTAAGCCCAGCCCAATGGGGTGGCGTGTTCGCCTTGGGCTAATGTTTATGTATAAATATGGCGGGTGTGAGCCCTGCAGGTCCCTTTTGTATTTCCTGCCCATCGCTGGATCCCTGGTGTTGTAAGCTATCCCTTCATTAAAATTTGCTGTTTCATATTAAGCTAGCCTGGTTATTACGCTGCATACAGGAGCCTGCTGGTAAGGGTAGACTGGCCGCCAATGATTTCCAGGAACCATCCACCTGCCTCTGCACCAGCTTTTCCATAGGTGCTGTGTATCTGAACTCAGGTCCTCATGCTTGCTCACAGGCACTTCACCCACGGAGACGTCCTTTTAGCCCTAAACCTTTACTTGCAAAAACAGCCCAATAAGCTCTCCCCACTGCAGAAGGCTGAAGGCTCTAAAGCTCTTTGGTCTGTAGGCTCCCCCAGCTCTCTTTGGTTTCCTTATGGCTTATTTGTTGGAAACATGGATCACTATTTGGTTCTACTTCAGTTTTGCAGAATGAGGACCCAGAAGAATTGTAGGCGGAAGTTTCCTGTCCTGACCACCTGCTCCCAAATAACCACACAGAGGCTTTATATTGATTACAGATGCTTGGGCGACAGCTCAGGTTTGTTACTAACTAGCTCTTACAACTTAACCCATTCCTATTAATCTATGTGCTGCCCTGAGGCTCGTGGCTTTTATCTCTATTCCATTTTGTATATCCAACTCGTTCTCCATCCTGACTCTGCCCTTCTTCTTCCTGGCATTCTCCCATTCTGGCTCCCCTGCCTAAACCTTATTCTGTTCATCTATTGGCCAGTCAGCTTGTTTATTAAACCAATCACAGCGACAATTCTTCACAGTGACAAAGGGATTATTCCACAGCAAAGAATGGTTCAGAACCGTACCTAAATCACCTGCAGGACAATGTGAGGGTGTGGGTTTCATGGGAGGAAAAAGGCCATGGAGGGTACATGCCCACCTGCCTGTGGCTCCTGGTTTCTGGAAAGTCCAACAATGATGGGGACCAATGGCAAAAGCCCCAAAGCACCAGGGAGAGAGGTGCTCACCCAGGCTTACAGGACTTTTGCTGGTTCTGGTTTGGAGTTTACAGAGTATCTCATCGGGGCTAATCTTTGCCTCCCTTCCCCCAAGGAAGGCAGAAAGCACGCACCAAGCTCACCGCCCAGGGACCCAAGTCCAAAAAGCGTCCCAACAAGTCCAAGGCCCTCAGCCGGTGCACCTGGCTTAGCAGCACCTGGAAAAGCAAGAGAGATATTGAACCATAACAAAATGACACCGATTACCACCTCTCTAAGAAAGCTCCAGTGTGAGCGGGCAGCCTAGGAGGGGTCTGACAAGACAACTTCCCCATGTCCGATGGTTCTTTCTTCAGATGCTGCCGTGTAGTTCATGCTTTAGACAGGCTGTAAAAACACTTCTTCATTACCCAAGTAAAATATGCCGCCTGCACGGTCCACTGTGCTCTCAACAGGATCAGCACCGGGGGCACTGTTCTCTATGCACACCCTTGCCAGGGTGAGTCTGAACCAGGTGGCAGCACAGCACGACCTCTGTGTAAATGTCCAGTTTGTTAGAACGGTTCCCCCAATGCTAGCTATCACAATGCTATGACAATACCCTAATCTGCAATCTTTGCAGTTTCACAATTTTTTTCTCCTGAGGATAAATCTGAGAAGTAAAATTATAGGTTATAACATCTGCATGACATTACCACAGTGCCCTTGACTAACGACCTCTGTCTTCTAAGAGGCAGCACCGTGGTACCCACTGGTGAAGCACCCGACATCTCTTTGCTCTGATTTATTAATGCTCAGTACAAGGTCAAAACCACCCTCAGGACCAAAGTCAGCTAACAGTGACTGCTCATGGGCAACACTGTCCACTGTCGTCTTACGTGACAATGAGAATCATCACTGGAGACTATGGGAACAATGTCAAATACTACTTGGATTTTCTCCCTCAAATACACATTTCCTGTTTCTTTTATTGATTTATAGCTTTAAAAAGCTGAGGTCCAACATGAATTAAAATTATTTTAAGAATATAAATGACTGGCTTTTTAGGATGTGAATTTGTACTTCAAAAAATTAGAAAGGGTGTTGGTGGGGGCACTAAAGATTTGGCTTGGCAGTTAAGAGCACCAGCTGCTCTTGCAGAAGACCTGGGTTCAATTCCAAGAACCTACATGGTGGTTCACAACCATCTGCAACTCCAGTTCCAGAAGATCTGACAACCTCTTCTGGCCTCTGTGGGCAGTGTGCATGTTACATAGATATGCATGCTGGCAAAACACTCAGGCACACAAAATAAATAAACCTTCTCTTAAAAATTAAAAGATATCCAAGAACCAAACTCCTGTTTCACACTATCACGGATGACAGAGACGGAGCAGGTCCTGGGTTCCTGTCCATCTGTGGCAAGTGGGCCCAAAGGGCAAACGTGCCTGCAAGAACTCCAGGTAGAACAGGGTCTGTCAAGGTGACTGCGTTTGCTTCATGGTGCCTGAGACATGAAGAGAAACTGAGGCTCTGGGAGACAAGGACCTCCCTCCAGTAGGAGGCACAACATACAGCAGAAGCTTGGCTCCTGACACAGCCCAGCACTTCCTGTATTTGACATAGATGCACTGAGGGCAAACACACTCTGGGTGAAAATGCTCAGGATTTTGTAGCAGCCATGATAAAAAGCCAGTTCTAGCTTTGGAAAAATAAAGGTTTTCAGAGCAAAGCAAGGAGAGTAACCAAGAGTGAGGCCAGGGTGGGCCTCATGGAGCTGGAACTCCCTTGTGACTCCTAGCCTTTACCTTTTTTCTTTTCCTTTCCTAGCTCTGTTCATCAGGCTCCCCGAGTCTGGCTGAGCCTGGCCGGGGAGAAAGAGCCGTGCGCCTGGTGGAGGACCCACTGCTTCCATCTTCCTAAAGACCACACGGACAATTCTAATGCTCTTCCCACAGCCATTTCCCCATGCCTAGCATCAGATGGGCTCTAGAGGTCTTCCCTTTCCCTGAGAGAGTGTGGGCTGTAAACGGAGTGAGTCGATAAAGCCATTTACTGTTTGCCAGACCCCAGAGCACTGGATTAAGGCCTGGCACGGCAGCCTGCTGTGGAGAGGACAACTTTGCTCTGCTCTGCTGCCACAGTGAGAGGCAGGCTGAAGAGAGCTGTGTGGTGACCCAGGTGACCTGAAAGGAGCCCCCAGCATTTTGCTGCCATTTCCTGGCATCAGGTGGGCATCTCAGCGATCCAGGCTTTGTCCTGCGACTGTTACTGTTGCTGTTGTTACTCTGTTTGGAAAACATTTGCTATAGCTTAAAGATCACTTTGCAATCCCAGGACAGTCTTAAAACTAATCTAGACATACATAAGAGGAGCAGTGATAATTATTTTCATAATGTCAGAAAAGAAGTAACAATACAACTCCCTCCTGTTTGACCCATGTCATTCTTTCAAGGTCCCTACTTCAGCAGGAACAGACCATGGTTACCATTTTACATGTACGTGTACTCTTCTTTCTTGCCTCTTTCTTGCCAGCTCGGATTCCTGGGGCTCTAGAAGGGGTATGTGAGCCACCGAGGCTGTTAGGCTGGCTGCCCTGTGGGAGAGACTCTGGGCAGGAAGGTTCACTGTGTTCTATGGGGGGGATTTTTGAGCTGCAGTTGCTCTGAGCATTTGGCCCAGTGAAGATGGATGGTCGTCCATCACAATGTGGTTAGCAGCCCTAATGAGCAAGCACAAGCCCTTCTTGGAAGGAAGCAAGACCAATGTTCTTGGACAGGTGGAAATCAGACCCACGGTGCGTTTTATAGAGGGAAGTAATTTGGTAAGAGCTCTGGAGAGTGATGGCCCTATCAGTGGCCCTTGGCAAGGTCTGTCCCTCCCATCTGGAGGGCAGCCTGACCTCTATCCCTCCAGGCTCCCTACCCTTCCAAGCCGGTACCCTCGCATGACTTCCACAGCTCTGACAGAGCTGCCCCTCCCCCGCTACGTGGTAAGTAGTATTTTCTGGAATCACAGTAAGTCACAAGTCCTCGGTGTCTGGTCTGGCTTTTCTTAGTCACAACCCAGCTCACCAGTTTCTCTCACAGACACAAACTTGGTGACCTGTTATCTACCCACCTGTGATGACAAATCCATGATTCATATTCCTATCCCATGCCATTTTGGTAACCAAAAGTCAGCAAGCAGTAAATGGGTTCCCCACAACCAGACCAGTCAGCACATGAATGACAGATACCCCCAGAAGGTACTGCTTCTTATGGGTCCCCGTCATGGGAAGGCTGATGGCACCTGGCCCATCTGTGAGGCTTTGGTGCTGGTCAGGAGAATGAGTGCTGTGGCCCAGTTAGGATTTGCTTGGTGGACTCACCCGTCTCTCACAGGACAAATTCGTATCTCATGTCCTTCCAAACAGAAGAAGGTAGTGATGCCAAGAGCCTGCCCCAAAGCGAAGCTCGTTGGCAGTAGCATTTCATCAGTTCCTGACTCGTAAGCAGGGGGTGGGGGCATGGTGACCTATCCCAGTTTATATTTAATGGGGGAGGAAGAAGGGAATTCAATGGCTTTGCCAAGAAAAGGCCACTGGGAGTAAGCAAGCATCTACTGACTTCAGATCAGATGTGAGGCACTGATGGGCCATGTGACTGAAGCACAGCCCCTGTGGGGCGGGGGCGGGGGAACCGTTACTGCCCAGACCCTCTTGTGCCTAGGACACACACAGGACAGATGCCTCAGACAGTCTAGGCCTGTGGGAAGTGACTGACCTGTAGGACAATGGGCAGCTGCTCTGGGGGGCTTCTGTTTTCCACGCCCATCGTGAGCCACACCTGGAATGCTGTCAGCTGCTCAGCAAAGAACGGGCTGTGCTGTAGGAGAAGCAAAGAGCTGGTTAGTGAGGCCGGTTTCCTTACACCACCTTCACCCCTCAGTCCTGACAAGGCAGTGACCATGAGGGGCAGAGCTGGTGGGAGCAGGTCTTACAGGCTTTGTCAACAGCCTGGACAGGAGAAAGGAAGTCTGGGTCTTGTGGCTGAGGGATCAAGGCAAGGCATATAGCTGTAACTGCAAGCCCCATCTTCCAGGATAAATGGCAAATAGGGTGATCTGCTGTAAGTCTAAAATATGCCCATGAGCACAGAACCAAAAGTGAGAGAGTCAGCCAGGAGCTGCAGAGTCCTGCTCACTGACAGGAACTAATCCAGCCAGATTTACGGCATGGTTGCTGTCACCAGGCTGGCCACTGTCCTCCTCTGCTCTCCCTTTGCTGGGGCTAATGACCCGAGCCTGGGTATCTTTGCCTCTTGAGTCTGCTCAGTGAGAGCTGATGGTGATCTGCTCAGTAGTCAAAGTTACCACCCCTGTAAAAAAACTAGAGCCTGCAGAAGGATCTCTATTTCAGCTGCTATTCCAGGCTTCCTGTTGTCTGGTACCCTCTTCCTGTCCTTGCTCCCTATCCTGATAAACACCAATTTGAACGTGGTTTTAATTCCTTACTAGTTAAAACTCATCACTTATAACGGTTGATTCTGAGGACAGACGTGTGCAATAGGTTTTAAGATGAGTGCACTGAACTGTAGGCCGACTGTCATAGTTGTGGTGGTGTGAATAAGTATGCCCCACAGACTCATGTGCTTGAGTGCTAGTGGGAGGTGCCGCATTGTTAGAGGAAGTATGTCACTGTTGGGGAGGGCAGGCTTTGAGGTCTCATATGCTCAAGCTACCCCCAGTGACTCAGACCACTTCCTGTCGTCCTTGGATTAAGATGCAGAACTCTCAATTCCTTCTCCAGCATCATGTCTGTCTGCGGGCTGCCACACTTCTCTCCATGATGCTAATGGACTGAATCTCTAAATGCTAAGCTAAGCCCAGTTAAATTTTTGTATTTTGAAAGTTGCCTTTATAAGAACTGCTGTAGTCATGGTATCTCTTTACAACAATAGAAAGCCTGACTAAAGGGTGAAAAAAAAAAAAAAAACCAGAATTTAGTGGTGCTGATTCAGTGTTACACAAATGTCAGTATTCTCCACCTCAGCCAAAGTCCTGCAGGTTCTCTGAGGAAATGAACAGTCACTATAATATTGGCATGGAAACACAAAAGGTCAAAAGGAATTGGGGAAATTGGGGAAAGGACATGGTGGGAGAACAGACTAGCAGCTTTGGCAACATTTGTAATAAATAAATTAAATAAATACTCAGAATCAAAACTGTGACTGTGGTGCCTGGACACAGCAGAGGAGCCAGAAGTAGCTCAGACACAGTCACCAGGTCCAGCATGATGGCTTTCAGATTGGGCATCACATGGACAACCCAAAGCTCTAGAAGGGGGGACAGCAGCATTCAGGGGTGCTCGCCTCAGGTAAGTCAAGATGGCCTTAGACAGGACAACAAAGATCCTAACCATCAACAAAATTTTAATAAATAGTAATTTGCTTAACAAAAGATGTCTCCTCAACAAGAAAAAAAAGGGTAAAACATGAAAATACAGTCTGCAGAATAAGAGATATTTACAGTGAGACAAAGGACAGGACAGAACCACTCTAGCGCAGCAGAAAGATTTATAAAAGACAGGTCTGCTAGAGAACAGGAAACTGTGCTGGTAGCACTGGGGACACGTGATGTCACCATTCCCTTGGAGCCAGATCCTGCACAGCAGAAGGGCTATGAGCCAAAGACACTGTGGACAGCTATCCAATAACATCTACTAAACCCACATGCAGCTTGGTCCTGTCCTACGAGCACCCCAGGAGACAGCATTGGGCTGCCCAAGCACACACGTGGGTGGGCAGTAACCAGAACATCGTCAGTGAGGGTTTTTTGTAGTGAACCCAAAATTTAGAGGAAACACTGGGAGAGTACTTGCCCCCAAATTCCAGAAGTGAAGGTAAATATCATGTCTAACATGGTAAAAAACAAGTAAAATCTTACAATAGCAGCACTTTAAATGGACAGGTCAGGATGACTTGCTTCCCTCTGTCTCAAGCTGCACAGTCACTGGGCCTGGGCCAGCCAGCACTGACCATGAGGATCACTGATTGACACTCAAAACACACTGGCCATGGGATGGAAAACCATTTTGTAGCTAGCAGACACCGTTAGGCGTATCAAAAGGGCACTGTTGAGCAGACAGTCAGACACAAAGAGCACATGCCGTGCAGTACTCTAGCATGGCAGCAGATAGGCGAGTGGCTGCAGAGGGAAAGAGCCGTGTGACTGCTGGATATGGGGGCTGGATATGAGAGTGTTAAACTGGTGTTTACAACACAGAGGGCTTTCTACATGTAGTCTGTACAGCCAAAGAGGTGGAGAGTTAAAATAAAAAAGCTCGAGCATGGTCCAGGTCAGTTGCCCCTGCACCTGACACCCTATGTTCCCTTAATGCAGTATACTGATCCATTAGGTTAGAGGTAACGTAGTGAGACCCTGGCAGGCACCTGGCCTTAGAACAGAAGCACTCAGTCTGAGGAACACAACACAGTGCGCTATCCTAGGAGCTCAGTTCTCAGCTCCTAAGCAGAGGGAAGCCAGGATCTGAAGACAAAAACACTTAATTCTTTGTTTTATTTTTGTTTGTTTTTGAGACAGGATTTTTCTGTGTAGCCCTGGCTATCTCGGAACTTGCTCTGTAGACAAGATTGGCCTTGAGCTTAGAGATCCACCTCCCTTTGCCTCCTGAGTAAAGGATTAAAGGTGTGCGCCACAACCATCCAGCAAGACTGACATTTTGATGGGGTTTTCCAGACATCCAGCTGTACCAAGAGTCCCTGTCCCTCCTGGGGAAGCACGAGGGCCATTTTAGTTTGCATGCTGGGTAAGGAACAGAGGGGGAGGCAGCTGCCATAAAAGCTACCATAGAACTCAGTGGAGGGAGCAGGGCCGCTGGCTTTAGAGTCCTTCCAACTTTGCTCCAGGCTTAAAAGCTTCTCTAATAAAATGTTATCTCCCTCTTCCCAAATAAGCAATAAAGAGTACAACAATATTGACAAAAGAGACCAGGAGATCTTCTTTAAAAACCTTCGCCCCATCATTTCAACCTCAGGGCACATCCGGGGAGCTAGCGTAGCCTACAGACACCAGGAGTGTAGTGTGCTAGTGCGTCCACGGGCCCAGGCTTGATTATGGAGCAGGCTCCTCGACATAGCCCTGGTTACCTGACAGAAGGTGACACACACTGCTCACTTGTCAGTGGCCAGTTTTCTCTGTAAGAACACGAGGTCCTAACAAATGTGTGAGTTCTGTCCTAAGCACTGTAAGAATGCTAACTCATGTAAGAACACGAGGTCCTAACAAATTTGTGGATTCTATCTTAAGCACTGTAAGAATGCTAATTCATTTAGCCATCAAACACAGCCCCTAGAATTGGGTTTCTCCAGAATCCCCTTCAAAAGAGGGCACCAGCTGGGTGTGTTGGTATACATGCCTTTAGTCCAATACTCAGGAGGCAGAGACAAGCAGGTCTCTGTGAATTCAGTGCCAATATGGTCTACATAGTGAGTTCTAGGATAATCAGTGCTACGTAGAGAAGCCTGCCTCAAGCAACAACACTGAAGTGAGGAAACCAAAGCTCAGGGAGGTTGTCTTACTGACCCACAGAAACACTGCCTGGCTCTTGGCCCTGAAGTCCAATGGCCTCTTGAGTAGTGTGAGGTGGCCCCTGTGTTGTTGACAGCCCAAACACCCACCCCAGGCCTTAAGTCATCATAGCTTCATGAAAGTGTCTGACTTACTTCTGCGTTCCTGTGCATTCCCTAATCTAGGTCCCTAACTTCTAACTGGTGCTGTGCCCTGTGTTCTTGAGGTTAGGGACAGGCCTTTAGTCAGACCTGGAGCTTCACTCACAGCAAATGCTCCGCAAAGCAAAACCCAAAGAGTCTCTGAGAAGCTAAGAGGGCTCTGGGCAGTGTCACCCACTGTACAAGCCGCAAGGAGGACCAGAGGCCCATGCAGCTGCTCAACTTTCCCCTGTGTGGTCTGAGACTGAGATGCACCCCTAGGCACCAGGAGCCCCCTAGACTAATCCCTGCGAACAGGCTCCAGCAGGAAACAAGCTCCTTAATGGGGGAGGAGAGAAGTCGAATGGAGAAAGCTAATTTGTGCAGAGCATAAAACAGCCTTCAAAAGTCCAGGTTAATGATGGAAATGAGGGAAATCCCCTCTCATGCCACACACCAGAATACCTACTCTTCTTACTGTCTGTACATAATCATCTGCAGTGATAAGTGAGGACCTGTGATATTTCCCGCAAGTCAGATTTACATTTTCAGTTCACCAGAAGCACCTCATACCTACAGTTAATTTATTTTTGAGCCCAAGAAGCGCTCTAAAGAAAGCTCCCCATGGACTCAGGGCAGTCAGTAACAATGCAATCACTCGGACGTTGTGGCTGTTCCTTAAGACTGCAAGTTCAGGGGCTGGAGAGATGGCTCGGAGGTTGGGAGCATTGCCTGCTCTTCCAAGGGTCCTGAGTTCGGTTCCCAGCAACCACATGGTGGCTCACAGCCATCTGTACTGGGGTCTGGTGCCCTCTTCTGGCCTGCAGGCACACACAGACAGAATATTGTATACATAATAAATAAATATTAAAAAAAAAAAGACTGCAAGTTCAGGCCAGGTAGTGGTGGAGGCAGAGGCAGGCGGATCTCTGTGAGCTCAAGGCCAGCCTGGCCTAAGAGCTAGTTCCAGGACAGCCAGAGAAACCCTGTCTCAAACTTCACCTCTCCCTGAAAAGGTCAACCATTTTAAAACCTAACTTGAGTCCCTGGATGACCCGATCTTGAAAACTCTGTAAGCTGAAGCTGTACCATTTTTCTAGGTAGGCGAAAAGCTAAATCCCTGACACCCAAAGTTCTGGGTGCTACGTGAAGCCCAGGTGTCTGCAATGGAATCACAGGGTCCTCTACGGAGGGGTCTCCCTGAAGTGGGGACTCACCCTGAAGGCAGTGCCCTCCTCGATGATGGTTGGCAGCTGAGACAGGCAAATGTCCACGGCAAGATCCCAGGCCTGCCTGGGGAGAGAACAGAGGGCACCCACGGGGTTAGTGAAGCAGCCTTGCACCAGGCCTTCGCAGGGAAGAACCACAAGGCCAATGGGGACAAACACCTTTCAGCCAAGAAGGGCTGCGTGGGGGGTCTTTGGCAGAATCACCCAGGAAGCCTAGAGAAAAGTGGAGGTGACTGGGCACCGTGGCTTACTCTAGTTGCCTAGTGTGACAAGCTCCTATTCAGAAAGAAGAGGAAAGGACGGCAGAACTCTCGCTCCCCTACAGGGCTTCCCGACTCCATTATGACCATCCCTAACATACAAGCTGCTTGCTCCAGACAGCTGGGGTTCCTGTGGTAGCTGATGGGACGGCATGGTCAGATAAAGGCGCTTTGTTAGAAAAGCCTAGTCAGCAGGGCAGGGCTGGGGCGGGTGGCCTGGCTGTGGACCTGCTGCCCCAGGAGGCAGGTGGTGCCAACTTGCCTTATACCCTGGACTGTGAGGATGGCCAGGCCCCACCATCCTCTTGTCTTCATGGCTGGGACCTGGCCTGGGCACAGAAGGCAAGGGCTATGTTGGTGACCCTAAACTGACTGAAAAAGGCTTGGCCATCCTTAACCTCTTGTGGCACTGGGCACTACTACTGACACTGGCCAGCATATCCCTGACAACATGTCTTGTGCTCAGCTGAGAGCTCTGCCTGACACCCACCAGGTGGATGCCCACCCCCTGCTCCAGCGTCTGGAACTCGGGCTCAGACACTGTAGGCCGACTTATGCAGCTTCATAAACACATCCTCTTACATAATTGGGGGACATGGGGACTCAGTGTCTGGGAGCAGGCTGGCTGCGCTTACATAAGGCTCTTTGCCAGGTGCCCCTCCCCCATACTTTCAGAGGACTGGAGAGCAGGACAGGACAGGAGTGTGGACTGGGGCTACAGACAAGAGAGTGCAGACAGGTTTTATCTTGGCCTGGGTATGCAACAGTATAATTTTATTGATTTCTTATTACAGTTTTAACAGAGGAAAGCCTGGCAGCAGTCTCCCCGTGAGTGCAGAGACAAGAAACCAACATGAACCCTCACTGGCATGGTCCTGTTCATCCTCCTGGGTTACTTGGTCACAAAGGAAAGTTCTAGTAGTGTGTACTGTATCACAGCCCCGGTTCTGACTGACTGGGTGTGGGTTCACTCTGTGCACAGTTCCAGGAATCCAGACTCACCCTGGCTGCCCCCGTGATAACAGCGCTGACCAGAGTGCCTGGCCTACCTGTCGTGCAGGCAGACCTCCCCTCTGCTGGAGTGGCTTCCCACAGCTTCCCACAAAACTGCAGGAGCTGAGGACCCAACCCGCGCTCTTTCCTCTTTACTGAGTTACCAGCTGCTTTTGTCAGCCCTATGACCAAACATCTAACAAGAAACAATTCTGGGGAGGAAGGATTTATTCTGACTGGCAGTTTGGGGTTTCCCATCTCTGGGCAATAGAGAGGAGCAGTGGCTGAGGCCTGGGTAGGGTGGACAAAGGGAGTCAAGCATGTCATGACTAGGGTGACAGCCGCAGATCCTGTGAGTCCTGTGATCACAGTGGGGTGCATGTGGACCCAAGGATTTCAGGATGAGACCACAGGGCAGCCTTACCAGACCAGGGGTCAGTTGAGAGGCATTGAGAGTGGTCACAGTGGAACCCCAGGTGTCCCTTACTTAATCGTCCCCTGGGGTAGATGGTCACACTTCCTAGCAATAGTACACTGCCTACATTGTGCGACAGCCCGGGGTGGCTGCACAAGCAACTCTGGAAATGGCTTCCCTGTCACAATGCTTTGTCCTGCACGCCAAGTGTCCTCTGGGACAAAAGAAGCTCCTCCTGGTCTTCCACTTCTAGCACCTCCGACGGCTGTCCCTTCGGAGCTAGCATGCTTCTCTCTCAAGTGCCATTCTAAACATTCTAAACAAACTTACCTTCTTGGTGACTCTAGCACTGGACAAGCATGTCTGAAATACCCAATACTTCCTAGCCAGTTCCTCGAGTCCCAAGCTTTCACACGGTCTTACTAAGCATCCTCTTACAATCCCAGACCCTGGCCCCTCTGTGGCTACAGGAGTGTCACACTAACAGTCACGACTCACTCAACTCACTCTGCCGGCCTTTCCAAGGCTCCTGCTGTGCCCCACCATTAGAAGGGAGCAAAGCCAGACTGCTTGTGGGCACTTCAAATTGCAGGCCTTTAACATGCATTTTCAGAGAAAAATGAAAGCAACCTTTGCTCAGAGCTGAGTAGGGTTAAAGACAATGGGGTGAGAATGTACCACAGGGCTGGCTTCAACCCTGCCCTCCTTGATCCCCACCTGAAGAGGGGGCTCATAGAGCGGTCACTCAACAGGTCTGGGTCTATATAGTTCTACTTGAGCTCGTTTCTCCAGTAGCCAGCCTCACAATCCATGGAGTAAAAAATGGTGACACCATCCTCATGGGGTCCCTATGGGACCCTGAGATAAGGAAAAGGCCTTGGCTGAGCTGTGGGCCAAGTGAGGACCAGTCAGAAACGCACAGCACCGGCGGACTGTGCACAGCCACATGTGCTGAGCTGACTTCTCCATCTTCACCAGGCCCCTCCCGACTTGGAGAAATGTGCTCCTGTGAAATCGGAGATGATCAGTAAGGCAGCTTTTGTTTCTGGAATAGCAATCTCTTCTCCCTGGTAATTTCCTGGGAGACCTGGAGACTCTTGTTATTTTTATTTAGACTAATGAGACCGCATGCTGGTGGGTAAAGGGGCACATTTTCTCTATGTCTTAATAAAGAACCAAGCAAGAATGGAGACATTTAAAATTCAGAAGGAAAGGATAGATTTATGGTGAGAAAGTGACTCCTTTTACATCCCACCCCCCACACTGGTCCCCTCTGTATACTCTGCCCCCCAGCCTCACTCCCATGCAGCCCTTCCCTGCTGATGAAATTAAGAGGCAATCAGGAGATAATCAAAAGTGGCTCCAACTTTGGGCAATAAATAGCTCCCATATGTTCAATAAACCCCCGACCGCAGGCCAGCGAACGCAGCACCGGGAAAGACATCCATTCTCTGTTGAGACAGCAGCAAAGTCAATTATTGCAATTAAATTCTGTAAAAATGCCTTGAATTTAATCCACTGGAAAGTTTCAATTTCAGGAGTTAGAAGAAAGGGTAGAAATTGGGGGAAGTGGAAACGGGAAGTAGGCAGTGTGTGTCTGGCAGCTGGCTGACGTGACACTTTAGGAACCAAGCAGAAATGTAAGGCACACGCATCTACGTGTTTGTGTCTAAGCTGACATGCCTGCTGTGCCATCACACTGGAGGCAAATGCATTCTGACCCACACAGTCGACCCTGTGGCCCCACCTAACCCCTACCTCTGGGGGAACTGAACCCACCACCCAGTTCCCTCTCCAGAAAATGGGCTCCATGCTTTGTTTTCTTGCATGAAAAGCTTGGTGGAAACTGATGAACTAAGACAGAGTCAGCAGAGAGAGCCGTGTTTAGGTAAAGGCAGCACAGAGGCCCTGCGAGGGCCATCAAAGAGAAGCAGCCCGACAGAGAACACACAGGGCCACTGGCAGACGGAGCAGAGGTGCCTCAGTCCTGCGCCAGCTCCCTGGGCTGAGAGGCAGTGGAGAGAAGCACTTTCAGAAGCACAGAGCATGGTAGGTGACCTGGGCACTCTCCCTGGGCCGGACCAGATGACTTCAGCACTTTCTATTAGCTGTAAAATTATGTAACAGTCTCGTCCTTAGCAGAACAACTGTCCTCTGATGAGCACAAGCACCAGCTGATTAGAGCTGGCTGCATTTTCTCAGCTAACAGTCAGCCAAATCTGCAGTCTTAATTTGGGATTCTCAGCTACGGACAAGTGGAAAAGCAGTCTATAAAACCCTGTGACAACAGCTGCGGTACTGTACACTGGTTCTCCATGTAGCACCCGGGCACGCCAGCTCTCTGTTGTTACCCAGGGAGGGTCAGAGGTTGGGAAGAGTAGGAGGTGTCTGCACTGGCTTCCCACAGGGAGGCTCTAGACTCTGGGGAGAGTAGCAGAACTGAGGGTCTGGAACAGGCAGGAAGGGTAGGTAACAGGATGAGCCCAGTTGATCTGGAATAGGCAGGAAGGGTAGGTAACAGGATGAGCCCAGCTGATCTGAACTGGCCTCCCTCCTCACACAGTAAGGAGTGATGAGGGACTTTCTAAGCTGCTGGTTGAGTCACCGCCAGGAAGAGCCTGGGTTTTCAGGAAACTGGCCTAGGATGGCAAGCGCCCAGGCAGTGGGCTGGAGGAAAGCCTTCTGAGCCAGTGTGGGCTCCATCTGCACTGATCAATCAGAGTAGAAAACACAGGTTATTACCACAGAGAAATGCAAGGTTTCAGGACCCCTGAAATTGAGAGTGAAGGAGAACGACTCCCTGATGGCTTTGCATCAAAAATTAAACAGGAAATGGGCTCTGAGTATTTCATCGTCTGCTTCCCCCGCCTGAAGCAGAGTGTAAATGTACATTACTTACGCTCTAACCCCAGTTTTTGGTAGCTTTGTTCCCTCTCCATCACAACTCAAGGATATAATAACCGGATTTTAAATTATTTACTCCAAAGGCTCCTTCCTGCCTACCTTTCCTATGAGTTCCCTGGGGATGCGTGTGCTGCCATCTATTTGTGAAGGAACACAAGCCCTGAGCACTATGGGAAGAGTTTTATCACCTGGGGTGGCAGACAGCAGAGCCCAGAGTCCACAGCATCCTTCAGTGGTGAGGCGCAGCCAAGGTCTGGAATGAGCTCAGCTCTGCAGTGACCTGGACCTCAGAGGTGGGCGTGACGCTCCACCTCTTTTCCTCACCCCCATTCAAGGGGCAGATTTGGGTTAGGACAGGCCAATGACGATAGGTCTACATGCCCAGCCTCCAAGAGGGCCAGGTATCACAAAGGGGTAGAGGTGGTGATGAGCCTGCCCACGCATGGGCCTTCCTATGCCTGGAGCTGGGGAGAGGTACGGCGAGGTATCTCT